GAAACAGTTTCCATTTTTTATTTAAGCTAGCTCAAGATGGTTTCTGTTTCACACGGGAGTGTACACAGGTGTGCTCACACCTGTCCTAAAATATATAATGAAGAAAGATAAGGGACTCTGCTGAATTTTATTTAAGATGAAAACAGATTAATAACCATGATTTTATTCTCTGTATGGTTTATTCCATTAGGTCAAATCTTGAAGAATTCAATATCAGAATATTTATTTAGTGTTGCCACACTCTAGGTTGGAGTTTCAGGACAGGCCTACAGGATTAATTATTTATCCCTGAATTCTTAGGGGACAAAGTAAATTACTAACAACTGACAGGTAATACCCAGTTGATCAAAATAAATGGGCTCACTATGTTTGTAAATAACTAGGAGAGGGAAACACTGAGGTTCTACTCAAGTATCTTCTTAAAAACCACCCTTGAACAGATCTGCGTCCACTAATTCTACAGGCTTGTAACAAAGAACAGCAGCTTCGAGCCATGTTCCCTCGATCTTTCACCTCAGAGGCAATCACTTTAAATTCTTTTAGCCGTTTCTTCTGATTTTTTACTCTGCATTTTGGAATAATATGCTCAGAGAATTCACTGATTATGTTCATTTTCAGATATTATCTTTTTACTTCCTACTATGGAAGATGAGGCAAAGAAATATCTACATTAGGAAATATATACAACAAAACCCACAGTTGTCTTATTGAAACTGCACAGAGAATTTTTTTAAAAATTATAATGCAAATTAACTGACAAACTCCATAAATTTTCTGTTGGGACTAATCAGCACAATTCAAAGTTCAAAGCAGTGACTTACATGGCATTAACCTCAGGCTTAACATTCCTCATGTGCTTGCATTAGGGTGTGAATTAGACACAGATTTGGTTTGATTCTTAAAGAACACTGTTAATACTAAATAATTCTGAAAACATTCTGCAATTATAAATCAAGGTACTTAAAATCAAATGTCTTACAAGAAGAAAATAAAAGTCTTACAAGTTTCTTTCTAATTAATGCATGTTGTTTCATTTTATAGGAAATTATTTTCATTTTTCACCTGGCATTTAACTTGCAAAATTACGTTTCACTTCATCAAAAGATCTTCCAGGATTGCAATAATCATCACAAGAATTTTCCAATTTAAACAAGTCAAATGGAAAAACTCTTTTGGAACATATAAAAAAAAAACCCAACATAATAAACTCAGGAGTTACTGCTTCATACATACAAATATCTTAAACATTAGTTATATGAAGCTCATAGAGATTTATCAGTAAATCACATATTACAATTAGTTGTGGAAAAATAATATCTATCTGTAACTTTAGTTAACAATCAGGATATCAATACAATGGTTACAAATTTATTAAATACTAAAATATTGCAATCTAGTCAATACTGATTTAAATAATAGAACAGCAAGTTTTCTCCGTGAAAAATACCATTTTCTTATCCCAACAGGACTTTCCACTTTAATTCAGTTTTAGTGATGACTACTTTAAATACATAGTGAAAACCATATTAAAATATAATTATTTGCAGGCTTTTAAAAAATAAATATTATTATTCATTTCAGAGAGGAAGGGAGAGGGAGAGAGAGAAATACCAATGATGAGAGAGAATCCTTGATCAGCTGCCTCCTGCATGCCCACACTGAGAATTGAGCCTGCAACCCTGGCATGTGCTCTGACGGGGAATTGAACCATGACCTCCTGGTTCATAGGTCGATGCTCAACCATTGAGTCATGTCGGCTGGGCCATTTGCAGGCTTTTACAGTCAGTGACCAAAGAGTATCAACATTTTTTATATAATTTAAATTCACTCACATTAATAAACAAAATGTATTTATAAACAAATGTATTTGGTATATCCATGTCCCAGATGCTAGGGACAAATCAATAAAACAGACAAGTCCTACCCTGTAATCAGGCAATGTGTTTTATTAAATACATTCAGTACAAAAATATCCTTATAAGAATTAAACAAATATGTGAATGCATATATTCTCATTCTTAAAAAGAAAACTAAGACAACTACATTAAAATGCTTTCCTATTATCAGTGGTGAAGTCTAGTGAACCTCTGTCAAAAAGCAAAAACTGTGATGCGTTACAAAGACATTTATATCTAAGATATCGGAAAGATACGGAATATTAAATCACTCTTTGATCATTTAAAAATTCACAGTTCCTGCAAATAGTATCATATCATTAGCCACATAATTTCTGGTGATTTGATAAACAAATGTAAAGGAATTACAACAACTATCTTAAACATGAGGTAAAATGATCATTTGAAGCTGCATATGAGCTCACCTTCAGCCACATTTCTTATCTATTTACTTTGACTGACCTTTTTTTGTGGGTAAGGGGGACTAGGTAAAGTTGAAATGAAAGGTTTGAGACAGAGTACATATTCAGCTATACTATCTGTTTACTCTGCCTGACCTTTTTTATGGGGAAGGGGAAGAAGGAGAATTATCTGCTCCTGAGAATCTCTATGCTAATAAACATAAGGATCAAAAAAGTCCATCAACCATACCAAAGTTAAGACACTTACTATATAAAGGCAAATCCCACGAGAGTAAATGTGACAAAGATAAAAGGTATTTCTGTATCTGCTGCTTTTTAAGAGTCTATGTTTACTACAATCCAATTAAAGGCCACTTTCCTGTTAATGCAATATAATAAAGCTATTTATCTTATATTACAATTAAACAGTATATTAAATGTCACATTTATTAGAAGGTATTAGTAAGAAATGTTTTAAGTATCTTATTTTACAGCTGACTTTCTCAAATGTTTCTATTTTGAAAATGACTAACCAACAGAAAAATTCAAAGAATAATACGATGAACACCCATATACTCTACATCTAGATTTACCAACTGTTAAAACTTTGGCATATTTCCTTTATTTTTCTCTCTCTACACATACACACATAAAATAATATTTTTTATTATTCAAAATAAATTGCAAACACCATCAAGAGTATGTATGTATAGTAATATGGTACTAAGTATAAAATTTGAGGAACATATATGTGAATGAAAAAAGGAAGGAAACTTGAGTGCTTGAAATGGCCAGGCACTATGTGAACAGCCTTGCATATAATGATTTCTAAACCTCATAACAATATGTTTTATGAGTGAGGAAACAACAGCTCAGGGAGATTTAGTGACTTCATAAGAGATTAAATATAACAATAGCTAGTAATGGTATATCCAAGATCTTAAACTATACCTCTTTTTCTATTACATTGTGCTATCTTCCTCAGAAATAATTTCTAACAAATATGTAGATAAAATATAATAGTTTAGAAGAAAATATAGGTTGAATTGAAGTGGAAATGGTCACATGGTTATAGATTTGAATAAAAAGATATATTCAACTTTGCATAGTACATCTGCTGTTCTGGTTCATGCTGCACTATATTCACAAGGTACGCTTCCCCCACCTCACCTTGACAGGGCAATAAGAACTCCCATTCACAAAGCTCCTTAGTAGCTTTAAGCACATAATTATATTCTTATAATTATGCCAGGTAAGGCATAAATAATGGCTATCTTAACTCTCCCTATGGTACTTATGTTTTAAATTAGGAAACATACTATTAATATTCTCATTTAAAATATCTGTTACTACAGGCCTGGGTGCATGAATTCGTACACCAGTGGGGTCTCTCAGATCAGGCTGAAGCTGCCATCCCCGGAGGGGTCCCAGATTGCAAGAGGGTGCAGGCCAGGCTGAGGGACCCCACTGGTGCACAATCGGGGCCGGGGAGGGACGCAGGAGGGCTCCAGGGAGTGTCCAGCCCATCTCGCTTAGTCCCGATTGGCTGGACTCCAGCAACCTACCAGTCGGAGCGTCTGCCCCCTGGTGGTCAGTGCACATCATAGTGAGCGGTTCAGTGGCCTTAGCATATCATTAGCATATAAGGCTTTGATTGGTTGAACAGATGACCGGATACTTAGCATATTGGGCTTTTATTATATAGAATTTCTTTGAGCACTAATTATGTGCCAAGAGCATTTCCAGATACTTTCATTTAATCCTCTGAACATCTCCAAAAGATAGGTAGCATTTCCTGTATTGTATGACTAGCAAATGGAGGAGCCAGCCTTTCACCTCAAATCTGACTGACTCAAAGATCCATATGCTCACCCCACCACACAGTGGATTTCTAACCCATAGAACTTTCCTGTATGCCTCCAGTAGCAAGGCATGGGGAAGGACAGGGCTAATTCTAGATAACCTCCTATCTCTACTTTGTACTTCTCTCTCACCTCCTTGTTAATTTGGAATTTTATTAAATTATACTTTGAGTTAATGTTTAGAAAAAGCTATTCTATTGTAACTTGCACTTAAATATTTCTTTTGAATGAAATAGTTACCGAGTCTTGGTCCTAGATTATCTAATCTCCCTCCCAAAACCTTAAGGTTATATAATTTCAAGTTAAATTATATTGCTTTCTTTTTCAGGAATATATCCCATATATAACTTGGGAATCAAATATAATGTTTTAATAATTTAGTTATATAATTCACTTAACAACAGATATGGTATGTATTTACTATGGTAATATTGTACGTACTTAGGAATCTGACTTTTGAGAGGAACAATAACCCAAACAGAGAGCCCAAAAATATAGGGAAGTGTGTACATGTGATAAATAGCTATTTTTAAGTCTTAAATTTTATTAAGTAAGCAGATTAAGACTTGTACACAGAAAAGCATAATAACATGATAGCTAGAATTGAAGAAGTATAGGGAAAAGATAAAAAGTGAAAGAGCCTGGCCGGTGTGGCTCAGTGGATTGAGTGTTGTCCTGTGCATTAAGAGTTCACTGGTTGATTCCTGGTCAGGGCACATGCCTAGGTTGCAGGCTCGATACCCAGTAGGGGGCGTGCAGGATTCAGCTGATTAATGTTTCTTTCTCATCAATATTTCTATCTCCCTCTCTCTCGGAAAAAGATGAATAAAAACATATATATATGGCCTTAAACTTATGAGTAAGGAAAATAATGATTCGGGGTGATGCCCGAATTCTCACTGCTAATGTGAGATGAATTTTTGAGTGGGTAAAGGTTGCCCCTAAGGTGACCCGCCTACTTTGCAAAATGCCTGGGAGTTTCAATCTGCCCGAAAACAAAAAACAAAAAAACAAACAAACAAAAATATATTTTTTTAAGTGAAAGAAAAAAACAGTAAAGTAAACTTTCTGGGGACCACAGTTCCTTAGGATAGTCCTGTATTAAACAGAACATTTCAATAGCGGATAAAATGCCAGCTGTGGTCAGAGGAAGTTACAGTTCTGTTAAGGAAGATTTAAGGTGGTGTTGTTAAATTATAACTCAATTAAAGAAGATAAAAAAAAAGTATATGTGAAATCCCACACATCAGTAATCTACTTAAAATTCTGGTTATACCTTTCCAAACATTTTTCAATAAATGTTTATACATATGTGTATGTTTATACATGTGTACAAGTGTGTATTATCCTATCCCATATAATAAAAGCCTAATATGCTAAGTGTCCAGTCATCCGTTCAACCAATCAAAACATAATATGCTAATGATATGCTAAGGCCGCTCAACCGCTCACTATGACGTGCATTGACCACCAGGGGGCAGAGAGTCAACCGGTCAACCAGTCGCTATGACGTGCACTGACCACCAGGGGGCAGATGTTCCGACCGGTAGGTTAGCTTGCTGCTGGGGTCTGGCTGATTGGGACTGAGCAAGATGAGCCAGACACGCCCTGGAGGCCTCCCACAGTCCCTCCCCAGCTGGCCAACCTCCCGCATCCCTTCCCAGCCCCGATCATGCACCGGTGGGGTCCCTCAGCCTGGCCTGTGCCCTCTCGCAATCCGGGACCCTTCAGGGGATGTCAGAGAGCCAGTTTCGGCCTGAACCCACAGACGAGGCCAAGAGACTCCACTAGTGCACGAATTCGTGCACCAGGCCTCTAGTATAGATATAATATATATATTATAATTCCAAAATGTTTTAAAACCCATCCTATATAATAAAAGGCTAATATGCAAATGGTCATCACGCCCTCACACGTAACGACCGATCAGCAGGAGGCTGCATTCGCAGCAGGCGCAAGCAGGTGGGTGGGGCTGCGTGCGCGGTGAGGCGTGTGTAGGTGGGTGGGGGTGCGTGTGCGACCAGTCACCAGGAGATGCCTGGAGCACCTCTTGGTCCCCACCCCCCCTCCCCCCCCCTCTCCCCCCCCCCGGGTTTTGCGGGTGGCGGCAGCAGCTCCCTCCTGCCTCCCTCCCGCGGAAGTTGCGCAACTCCTTGCTGGCTTCCCCGGGTTGCGCCGCTCCCGCCGGCTCCCACGGAAGCAGTGGGCGGCCTACTGAGCACAATTTCACATGCTGGGCCACTAGTATTAAGATAAAAATTATGGCATATAAACTTTTATGCATCCATCATTGTCAAGAGTCACTTATGTGGAATACTTCAATTCTGAAATGATTATAGAGATTAGAGGCAATATTTTGTTATTATTAACTTAGTCTCTATGGAGAACATCCTTACATAATAGTGAAAAACAGAAATACATAAAGTCCCTAGGATTAAAGAAGTTTCCAAGTATCAAGTAACATAATAAGCCTTAGACATAGAAGATCTAAGTGCAGGTCTAGCTCTATTCCTTGCCAGCTATGTGACATCGGCCAGCCCTCCTACCTCACTGAGTCAACTGTCTTCTAGATAAAGTAAGCACCCCCACAACAGTGTGTGTGGATTAAAAGAAATATTTTATGTGAAAATACTTTGTAAACTAGACACGGCTAATCAAAAATAAGAATTTAAATAACAGATATAATGTAGAAGAATTTTAAGTATAATAAAGACTTGTCTTCTCTTAGACCAGCGGTTCTCAACCTGTGGGTCGTGACCCCTTTGGCAGTTGAACGACCCTTTCACAAGGGTCGCCTAAGACCATCCTGCATATCAGATATTTACATTACGATTCATAACAGTAGCAACATGACAGTTATGAAGTAGCAATGAAAATAATTTTATGGTTGGGTCACAACATGAGGAACTGTATTTAAAGGGCCAGAAGGTTGAGAACCACTGCACTAAACTCATCTCCTTTTCGTTTATTCACTCTTACAGACTGAATTATCAGTAAGTTAATGACTTTTGAATCCACATTTATAGCCCTTTCCTCCAGTAAATGATCTAGCTTCACAGTTTCAATCTGGAAACACTTGGGGTGGATGGAAAACAACTGATAATTTTTCTTCTTTTCTGCCACGTTGCCGTTATTTAACTCCCATGCTAAAAATTCTATAATAACTCTTTAGTATTTTATATATACTATTTTAAAAAAACAAAACCTGGTTATGGTATCATTTTAATTGAGAGCTGGAAGCCTCAGTGTGATTATGTTTCCTGGTTTGTCTCCCTGCTTTTATTATATCAGTCAAAAAAAAAAAGTTAAAGCATGTAATTTCTCTCAAGGCATTGTAATTTATTCTATTAGAAGTACAATCTACACAAAGTTATATAGCTTCTCCCATATAAAATACTGACTCAGAAGGAGAGAGGAATTCTGGGTAGTTGAGGCAATCAGGTTATGTAAATCTAAAATTCTTCGTGTATCCTCACAAAAACCAATACAGAACAACAAAAAGAACAATTAATACTACACAAAACTCAGATCTTCAACACATCCAAACTTCTAATCACAGGTAAAAAGAAAAAGACAAACAGAATACCAATGAGCTATCTCCCATGTTCCAGCTGCAAGCCTCTTCGGACAGTGAGGGCAGTTTAGGGAAAACAAAACTGAACAGGGAAGACAGAAGCAGAGACATACGGTCTTCATTTATTAAAAAATTTAAAAAATCCTATCAAAATAAAATGGATACAATAATTCAGACAATTCACCTGACAAACGATTCACTCCAAGAAAACAGACAGCAAAGTAGAAGAAAACTAGAATATAACATCCTAAACTGAATTAAACATCTTTAAACAACCATTTGGAGACATCAAAAAAAGAAAAAAGCCTTGATCAATGTAGTGTAAGAGTAGATTTCATTTCTGTCCCTGCTTCAAAATACAGGGCTCCTAAAACCCTTGGAATTTCCTGAATGACAGAAGAGTATTTTGTTATTCATGAGGAGCCTCCTTTGAGCACACCAGAGTTTTTGCTAATGAGGTAATTTAGGATGGGGCCCCTATATAACCTCTGGAAGGGGCTGGTCACCAGAAAGACCAAGGGATTAGACTTTCAACCCCACCCACTAACCTCCAGGGAAGGAAGTGGGGGCTGAAAATTAAGCTCTATAAAAACTCTTGAACAATAAGATCTGATGAGCTTCAAGACTGAACACAACCACAAGCTGGGAGAGTGGTTCACCCCAGTTTTTGCACTTGGGACCTTCACGAACTCTCCCTATATACCTCTTCATCTGTCTATCTTTATCCTTTATAATATTTTAAAAATAAACTGGTAAAAGCCATTCTAAAAAATTACCAAGTCCGAGGAGGGGTCATGGGGATCTCCAATTTATAGTTGGTAGGTTAGAAGTACATGTGACAACCTGAACTTCTGATTGACATAAAAAATGGGGCAGTCTTGTGGAACTGAGCCCTTAATCTATAGGATCTGATGTTATCTCAGAACTAGGGTAAATTTATAGGATACCTAGTTGGTGTCTGCTGAGAACTGAAGAATTGCTTGGTGGGAGAAAACCCCACACACATTTGGTCTCAAGAATACTGACAGTAGAGGAGAAAAATAGTTTTTCCCTTATAATCAGGAATTGCAAAAACAAAGAAAAGAAGTGGGCAAAACCAGAAAGAAGTGAAATAGAGCTGAATAAACACAAGAAAGAGAGGGGGAAAGGCAAAATTATATCAGAAATGAAGACAAAATTACATAGTCCCCAAAGAATACATTTACATAACATAATAACGGCTCTGAAAACAGCAGAAAAACAACCAACAGAATGAAAATGAGATTTTTTTAAAATTAAAAAGTAAAAAGCATCAGAGAGAAAGCATTTGATATAGAAGACTGCGAAAAGAGATTCAATTTATGTTGAGAGCCTCTGTAAATGATAAACCATTGTCCCAGAACTAATATATCAAATTATAATCCAAAAAAAACTTTTGGAAATAAAAGAAGACCTGAAGCTACATTATTTAAAGAACCCACTGAACTCTTTAACCTGCAGCAAGCAAATGGAACTGAAAAAAGATCAAATAACTCACGAGGACAAGACCATTAACTGCCATCAAAATTCTCAAAAACAACATAAAACAAGACCAAAATGAGGGAGCATTTTCAAAAAGCTGCAGGAAAGAAATGTAAATTTAGTTTATGTTCAGTTAAGCTATCCTTTAAGTATCGAGGACATAGAGAAACAGTTTTAAACATACAAGGGCTCCTAATCATCAGCCCTTCTTGAGGAATCTACTAGAAGAAAAATTCACCAAACCAAGAGATGATGGGGAAATTTCAGCAAAAAAATTGGTGATGAATACTTAATATATTTAGTTACATATCTAAAAGCAAAACAAAGGTAGAAATAAGAGTAAAAGAATAATATATAATATGAAGGTGCTATATGTTATATATTGCATGTTGTGACAAAGTATAAATAAAACAACTCAAAATTTGATGGAGAAAGGAGAGTGGAAAATAAGGAAAGTAGAGTAAATGCCTTGGTTATATATGCAATCAATAGAAGTTAAAGTAAATACCATTAAAAACTCACAAACCAGTGGCAAATTTTCAAATGCGCCCAGCTCACATTTTTTTATATTAGTAAGATAAATACATTATCTTCCTAAAAATTGCAATGATGCAACTGCTATTAGGTATTTCACAATGAAACTTATCCAAAACTACTGTACCTTACAGTAAAGTCATAGGAACAAGAGGCCAGCACAGAAGAATGAAATGGTGAAAACTATAAAACAAAACATTTTATTGGTTAGCTGTAATTATAACATGCTTAATAAGTTAAAATCTAGTCAGGGCTGTCACTAAAAATTATGCTTTTCTGAACCTTATATGCTTTAATTCAAGGCAAAAATATTTTAGCCTTTTATGTACATTATCATCTACAGGAAAAACACTTAACTTTAAAATAGTATCTTTTACATAAGTA